GGCTGAGGCGGAAGGATGGCCGGAGCCCAGCAGGTCGAGGCTGCGGTGACCGGGAGAGGCCACTGCACTCCAGTCTGGGCGACAGAGTGAGACTCCAACTCAATTAAAAAAAAAAATCTCCTATTGGGACATATAGGTTATTTTGTAAATTTTCACCATCACATAAAGATGCAAGATATTTTCTTGCATTTGTCTTTAGCTGCATTTTCCCTGATGGCAAAAAAAATCTTAGAAATGAGATGTTCAGGCCAAGAGAATGCCAGTGGCTTACAGGAAAGTGTACCACTTCACTCGCCCCGATCCCCACCCCCCAGCATCTACAATGCTTGTTGACCTCTGTTTTGTTCTTTTTTTTTTTTGAGTTGGAGTCCCACTGTCACCCAGCCTGGGGTGTAATAGCACCTCACGGCTACCGCAGCTTCCACCTACTGGGCTTAGGCAATCCTTTCACCTCACCCTTCCAAGTAGCTGGAACTACAAGCACGTGCTACCACACCCAGCTAATTTTTTGGATTTATTGTAGAGATGAGGTCTCACAAGTTGCCCGGTCTGGTCTTGAACCAATGGGCTCAGGCAGTCTTCTCACCTTAGCCTTCCAAAGTGTTGGGATTATAGGTGTGAGCCACCACACAAGGCCCTGTTTTATTCTTGTGGGCCTTCCTTTTGGCTTTCATGTTCACTCCTCAAAGCTCACTCTTCGTCCAGTGGCTCAAACCTGTCATCCCAGCACTTTGGGAGGCCGAGATGAGAGGATTGACTGAGCCCACGGGTTCGAGACCAGCCTGGGCAACTTGATGAGTCCTCACCTCTACAATAAATCAAAAAATTAGCTGGGCATGGTGCTGCATGCCTGTAGTTCCAGCTACTTGGAAAGCTGAGGTGGAAGGATCACCTGAGCCCAGCAGGTCAAGGCTGCTGTGGCCGTGAGGGTGCCATCGCACTCCAGCCTGGGAGACAGAGTGAGACTCCAACTCAAAAAAAAAAAATCTAACTCTTGCACTAACATTGCAACCTACAAACCTCTTGCGTGTTCCCCCTCGTCTCTGAATTGTGCCATTTCTCTCTCTCCCTCCCTCTCTTGATTTTGCTCAGTGCTGTGGCCCTGCTGGTAGGAGAGAAGGTACAAGAAGAGACCACTCTAGTGGTAAGTTATGGGAACTTCCTGGGCAGTTTTGGTAGACCTCCCTGTGACTGCTCTTCAATGGGTGATTGTGCTTTAAAAAAAATAATTCCACTGCCATTTATACACATGCTTTGTCTAAGCTGTGCTTGCTTTCTGCAGGATGATCCCTTTCAGATGAAAACAGGTGGCATGGTGGATATGAAGAAGCTGAAGGAAAGGGGCAAAGATAAGTAAGTGCAGGACATGCTGATATGCAGATTCTCCTTTAACACCTGCCTGGGTTTGTGGGCCCTCAGAGAGCTGGGGCCTGCAGCATCAACTTTAATGAAACACCTTGGAGTAGCCTTTTTGCTTCGCAAAGGGTATATTATTTAAAAAGAAAAGAGGGTCAGGTGTGGTGGCTCAAGCATAATAATCCCAGCACTTTAGGAGGCAAAAGTGAGAGGTTTGCCTGAGTCCAGGGGTTCGAGAGCAGCCTAGGCAACTTGATGAGAGCTCTACAATTAATCAAAAAATTAGCTGGATGTGGCTGTATGCACCCGTGTTTCCAGCTACTTGGAAGGCTGAGGCAGAAGGATCACCTGAACCCAGCAGATCAAGGCTGTACTCTAGCCAGGGCAACAGAGTAAGACTCCAATTCGATAGACAGATAGATAGATAGATAGACTCCATTTCGATAGATAGATAGATAGATAGGCAGGCAGGCAGACAGAGTCCGAATCAATAGATAGATCGATCGATAGATAGACAGACAGACAGACAAGAAAACAGGCTAGGCATGGTGACTCATGCTTGTAATCCCAGCACTTTGGGAGGCCAGAGGATTGCTTGAGTCCATGGGTTTGAGACCAGCCTGGGCAACATAGCAAGACCTTATCTCTACATAAAAATGTAAATAAATAGACCAGATGCAGTGGCTCACTCCTATAATCTCAGCACTTTGAGAGGCCGAGGTCAGAGGATTGCCTGAGCCCACAGGTTTGAGACCAGCCTAGGCAACTTGGCAAGACCTCATCTCTACAATAAATCAAGAAAATGAGCCGGGCGTGGTGACACATGCTTGTAGTTCCAGCTACTTGGAAGGCTGAGGCAGAGAATAGTCTGAGCCCAGCAGGTTGAGGCTGCAGTGGCCATGAGCGTGTGAGGTGACAGAGTGAGAATTCAACTCAA